AAAAAATCTGTGTTTAAAATCCGGGTTACCGAAAAAGGCAGATTCCAATGAGATGGTTTTTCTTCCATACAAAACCCTCAGGCATCTGGTTTTTTAGCCTCACTTGAGTCAGAGCAGACATCCAAATCAACCAAGAGTGATTTGAATCAGGTAATCTAGCAAAAAATCTGTTGGTGGATTATATAAATGTTGTAAATATCTCATAGAGCATGCTTTCTAAGTTAACATCAAGATAAGGCATCACCAATAAGCATTTCAATATGGCCGACGTTCTCAGAATATCCCCACTCTTGGATCCCAGATGTCTGTGGAAGTCATCCAGAATGACACTATTAGACAATCTAGAGTGAAAAGCATCACCAAACTGACAGAACATTATACGATGCTCACCTTTCCTTCTCTTCCCAGGATACAAACCGACGCCTCGTCCCGGGTACAAGCACCCACCGCCTAATGGATGTGGCTCCCCTTTGTTTGGATTTAAGGTAATCAGCTCCATTTAAAGGTGGAGACTCCAGAGAAACTAGAAATACTAGGAAACAAAGAATAGCTCTCATGCATCCTTCCAAGGAGTTTGTGATTAATTCATGTATTTGCACAGCTTTAGTGAACACCCCAGTTTTCCATCCAGAATTACTATGCTGCTCTTTCCAGTTTGATTTGGGAATCCCCTCCATGACCAAATGCTGCAACCAGCACGACCGTTGCTATGACACCTGCGGCCGCCAGAAACACGACTGCGATGAGCAGTTCCAGGACTGTCTGGAGACCATCTGCAGGAACGTGCAAAGGACTCTGGGATTGGCCCAGACTGTCCAAGGTCAGTCTGACGGGCTCCGTTTCTGTTTCCTCTATTAGAAACTGATCTGATCTTAGACTTAGAGACTTAGACAGTCTTTGCCAGTCTTTGTCTTTGGCATTTTGTATACACGAGTGTATACAAAAAGAAATTTAGTTTAAAACAGCTCTAGACAATTTCATGCATCCTTGAAAACCAGTAATAAAAACATATAAAAAAAGAAAAAAAAAAGGAATATAATATGATATAATATCTTGTGGTTAATTCCTTGCATGCCTCGTTTTATAAATGGAGACAGTCCTGTGTTTGTTTCCATTGGTATCAAAAGCTAAGCCTCTATCAAATTATCTGCAGTTCCCTTTATTCTGCTGTTTTCTTTGTAGAAATCAGAATCATTTATGACTCAAAACTTGCAAACACTGTTTTTTTTAGTTTTAGAACAAACAAAATGTAAACAGGTGAAATTATTTAATAAGTATTATTGATTGTTTTTCTAAATGTTCTAGATTTGATCAGATGCTAAACCACAGAACAGTTCAACAGAAATCATGCTCAGCGGGTCAGAGTTGAAAGAAAGCTCTAATTCTTTGTCAAATGCTTAAAGCTTCATCGCTGCTGTTGATGCATGACCAGATTTTTTATTTTTTATATGGATTACTAACTTTTGCTTGTCGTCACACTGCACCTCATGTCTGTTTGTTTTGTCTACATATCTTTATGGACATGAAGTGCTTAAAGGCTGTGGTGGTGCTCTGATCTTCTATGCTGAATCAACACAATTATCTTAATATCCTTTACTCCCTTTGGTTGACATGGAAACAGCTGAAGTGGCCCAGACAGAACCTTTGGTTATCAATTTTATTATTCTTTTGCAAATGTGGGATTATAAAGAAAATGTGCCGTTGTTTACTAGCCATATTTTGGTTTAGTTAACATTATCAGAATATATAATAAACATAAAAAGTAAAAGAAAACTAATCCGAAAGAAGGGGATTAGGTCAAAGGTTGTAGTAGATGATTGAATGAGAAGTTATTGCAATACTCATACTGTCCACTAGAGGGAACAAAGATACATTTTACCTTCGGTTAACTGATAAAGAAGCAAGGGCTGTGCATTAAAAGCAGATTTCAACCAAAAGAAGAATAGTTTTACATCTATTAGTTGTTAAATATAGTCTAAGGAAATAAAAACACACAAAAAACAAAGAGCTGTGATAGAAGGTGAACCCCCCACCCCCCAATAACCAAGGTGCAGATGTTTGGATTTAAACCTACGTTATGTTAATTGTTATTCCTTAATAGGATATTGTTGTTTTTACTTTTTTTTTTTATCTTTGCGACATTAATTGCATTAAACATTGTTCTCCTGTTGACTGTCTGTTTTTTTCTGCCTGTGTTTCTGCTTTCCTTCCCATCGCAGCGTGTGAGTCCGCTGTGACCCTCCTTTTTGATGCCGTCATGCACCTGGGCTGCAAGCCATACCTGGACAGCCAGCGGGACGCCTGTGTGTGCCAGTACGAAGTGAAAAAGGAGCTGTGACAGCGCTGCCAATACAGAGACTCTGAAATCTGGAGTTTAACTTTTATTGTCTAGCTTTTCTCAGGAATGGGGCCTTTTAGGCTAACTGTGCAATGCTAAGTGAATGTTAAAAAAAAAATGTTTCTTTTAGGTGGTAACTAATATTTGTCCCTGTGCAATCCACTATTTATATATATTTTGGCGATTACAGTTAAGGCCCTTTGATGGATGAGAACTGATTCAGATCAGATGTCCCTCATGCTTTAAACAGGGCGCCACACATACGTTCTGTTCAGAGTTCAAAGGTCAGCTTACTATACAGCAATAAAGCACACATCCACATTCTAAAGCAAAGGGCGTTTTTTTTCCTAGGAAGTCTTTGTCATTTTTATTCAGGCTATTCTCCCAGCCTCCTAATCTCAGATGTTCTTGCTGTGTCCAGTGCAAATCTAGCCTGACAGCATTCTGATGTCTGTGTTCAAAGAGTTGGGAAATTCAGTAAGGCAAGGCAAAAGAAGACTTTTCAGGCTAACAAACAAATCTGAGGCAGATTAGGAGAAAAGAGGCACAAGTCTTTGATTACTTAAAATAAAAACATCTATTTTCTACTAAAAGGCCTGGAGGCGTACACTGTTGATAAAAACACTAAGGATCCTTGATGAGCTCCAGCACCAGCAAACACATCTCTTTCTTTACATAGACGAAAAAAAAGTCCTATCTGGTATATAAAAAAAAAAAAAGTAATAAAAAAAACATTAAAATATGACTGTTTTGTATTGTTCTGGTTATTCTGTTTATTATAGTTTCTTACAAAAAAATCCGTCCTGCTTTGGACCGGCTCTGTTGGTGAACCTATTCTTGAATTGTGCTCTAGACCAAATATACCAGGGGCCCAGTGTGGGACCTGGTTTTTTCATGGTGGCACAGAAGAGGAGAAAAAGAAAAAAAGAACAGGTAACCAACGCATCTCTTTGCTTGCTTTAAAATCAAGGTTGAAGACCCTTTTTGAAGAACCGGAGTTCAAAAACCTTTCAGCCTGTGACACCGAAATAACAATACAATAGTCCACAGACCCTCTAAGAATACATAGAAAGTGAAATAATTATATTAATTTTAAGATACGTTAATTTTTTCAATGGTATTGAATTTCAACTGTATTTTCATTTAATGGGACATTTAATTATTCAATGATATATTAAACAATGTATTGGCATAATTTAGGGGCTGCACAGTGCGGTAGTTTGTAGCCCTGCTGCCTTGCAGCAAGACGGTTCCAGGTTCGATTCCTGTCCCTGGGGTCTTTCTGCATGAAATTTGCATGATCTCCCTGTGCATGCATGGGTTCTCTCAGGGTACTCCCACAGTCCAAAAACATGACTGTTAGTCAAGAGTCTAAGCCAAGGCTCTTAGACTCTAGGGGAGCGGGAGTCTGGTGGTTAGAGCATAGAGCTTGGAATCCTGAGGTTCTGACTTCATGCTCCACTCCCACAGAATGCCACTCTGGGTCTCTGAGCAAGACCCTTAACCCCACACTGCTCCCCAGGCACCATACAATGGCAGCTCACTGCTTCCAAAGGGGATGGGTGAAATGCAGAGAGTGATTTTCCCCATTGTGAGATTAATAAAATTCTAATATTTGAATCATATATTAGAGACCATACATTTTAAATCCAATTATTTCATGGTACATTTAGTTACAGAATGGGGCATTCAAAAGTATTTCTTTATATATTTTTTCCCTCCATATATCTCACGGATCATATCACCATGATTATGGAAACCATCATAGGTACCAGTCAACCTTAATCCCTTTTGATCAGCTCATATAATAAGAAATGCATCTAGTATTATGTTTTCAGTACAGGGGACAGAACCAATTCAATAGGGGCTCTGGCCCCGTTGGCTTCTGTCTAGGACCGCACATGGTGCTCGGGCAGCACAAACATGGTACAGGGGCCAGTAATGGCCCGCCAAACTCCTTCTGTGCCCTGCTTTTAAATCCATAGTTTGGTCTAAGCCTGGAGTAACTAATTAAAAACCTGTTGGGTCCGAATAAAGAAAATCATCAACCAGTAAAGGTCCAGAGACATTTTTAATTATAATCTGTTAATTTAAACAGAATTTAACACTGAAATAAAATGAGGTTTTTATGCATCCATGTTATACATTGAATTTTTAAATTAAAAAAATATATAAAAATAAATAGAACATTTTCCCATTTTAAAATCTTAAGTGTAGAGAACAGCAATTGTTCAGTTTGGTATATAGACAGTTTCCTGATTCACATATTATATATAAGACAGCTGACCTTTTTTTTATGTTTTAATGAGAGCAGTGGGCTTTAGGCTGCCCTGCAAGGCTTTAAACCTGGGTTTGAATGGAGACTAAGCCAGTCTCAATCAAGGTGCTCGTTTGTGAGCCATATGATCTGGCGCAAGTGAATTTACACACTGTGGTTGGACAACATGTAGTCATTTATAAATGTTTTAAATCGGGTTGGGTCCGGATCCAGACCGTTAACGTTAAAAGCATCCACTTCCTGCTTCTGTGTCAGTAAAGTTATCCTGACACAGATTTAATACCTCTCATAAAACGCCGTAATTCATTGCGCCGCTAGCTACACCTCCCTAGGGTCGTTACTTTCTGACCAATCGTTTCCTCCGGTCTTAACTTTTAGCCAATCAAATCGTAGGGGCGGGACTAAACTCGAGCTACCTTTCTCTATGTTTGAGGAAGTGATTTTCAGTCCCCCAGCCGGAGAGAAGAAGAAAAGCCAAGATGTCGGACAGCCGCGCAGGTAAAATCTCACCTTTATGACACGTTTACGTCTTCAGTGTAAAACTCTCGATGTTTATTAAACTTATTGCCCTAAAAATAACATTTATATTAAATTTAGCTTCGAACTGTGTTCACTGTCCCCTTCTTGACTAAGAGTCTCTTATTGGAGATATTCTTTTTTAATAATAATAATTAAACAGTAATAACTGTTTGGCTTCATATATCCTGTAAATATTGTTTCTTTTCTCAATGTGTTGGTTATAAATGCTTGTTGGAACAGTTTATGGATTGTATTAAATAATTGTACTAATAATGCTTGTTTGTTTCCCCACTTCATTAGAAAAAGGCTCCACTGCCACAGACAGTGTGGGTGAGTTATATCTCCAAATGTTTCACAACTGCGCCTGCTTCCTTAAAAATACACATAAAAGTGAAAGTAATAAGAGAAAGTTGTAGAACCATAAATCAGCTTCATTTGGATAAACAGTATTTTGTCTCTCTGTTCTCAAACATCTTCTAAATTCATGGTGCAGTTTATAGTTTACATCCAGGCTTAGCTCACTATTACTTAAACATGAACAGGCTTTTAATGGGGTTGATAAGGGGCAGAATTTTGCAATCGTTCAGCAGATGTCAGACCGGATTGTAAAAGACTCAAGGCAAGATTTTAACTTTCTGATGACAGACATGAAGCAGCTTCACAGAAAAGCAAAGGAAGAAATGCTGTCAAACCTCTTTCTGTTTACACAAAAAAAAACAACCTCTGTTCATCGTAATGCCCTCCATATGCTGTTATACTGACATCAAATACTGACATGCTGTTATAACATCCATCCATCTTCTCCCACTTATCCGGGGTCGGGTCGCAGGGGAAGCAGCTTCAATAGGGAGGCCCAGATGTCCCTCTATCCAGCCAGCAACTCTGGGGGAATCCCAAGGCGCTCTCAGGCTAGCGGTGAAACATAGTCTCTCCGGCGTGTCCTGGGTCTCCCCTTGGCCTCATCCTGGTGGAACGTGCCTGGAACACCTCACCAGGGAGACGTCCAGGAGGCATCCTAATCAGATGCCCGAGCCACCTCAACTGGCTCCTCTTGATGTGGAGGAGCAGTGGCTCTACTCTTGAGTCCTCCCCGGATGACTGAGCTCCTCACCCTATCTCTAAGGGAGAGAGCCCAGACACTACGGAGAAAACTAATTTCAGCCACTTGTATCCGGGATCTCAATCTTCCAGTCATGACCCAAAGCTTATGACCATATATGAGGGTAGGAACGTCGGTAAATCGAGAGCTTTGCTTTTTGGCTCAGCTCTTTCTCCACCACAACAGACTGGTACAGTGCACGCTTCACAGCACACGCCGCACCACTCCGCCTATCAATCTCCCACTCCATCTTCCCCTCATTTGTGAACAAGACCCCAAGATACTTAAACTCCTCCACTAAATCAGAGCAAACTGCTCTCAGCTGTGTCTGATATCACCCCATTTAGGTGGAAGTCATCCTCAAACTGTTGTGTTAATATATGCTGCTCAGCTATCACCAGCCTGCAGCAGAGGACATGCAAAGACATGCATCCTTCAATTGGATATCTTCTGTATTTAATGACACGTTGGTATCGCACAGTTCCTGGATGCTTGTTAGAGAGGTCACCGCCAAACAGTAAACTAATCATATTGTTTAAGGAGATAGTTTACGCCGCTTGGAGCTAAGTGACATGCATGAAGATGAGTCAGGATGGTCCGACTTAGCAACAATTTGCAAACATTTAAAGTGTTTACTCACATCGATGTTGCAGCATAACCCTGCCGCCATGTTGCTTTGACAAATGCCACCGAAGTTGATTCAGGAGACCCTGAGGGGCCAGGCCAAGTGTGCACTGGAAAAACAATCTAGAAATAAGTAAAAATGTCTTAAATTGAGTATATTTATCCTTTATTTGAGTAGGTAAATGACATAGTTTATCAATGGAATTAGTATTTTTACTCGTAAAATAAGATAATGAGATAATATGCACTTGTAATAAGACAATGCAATTGTGTTTTCTTATTTTAAGTGTAAATTGTCTCGTTTACCTCCTCAATCCAAGAACAAATGCACTTATTTTAAGAAAAAAATGACTTATCTAGATTTAGATGAGTCATTCAGGGTCGCTGTGAGGCTGGCGCCTTTTTCCACCTGTCTATGGAAGAAAGGTTTGGTTGCTAGTGCATCGTATGCAGAACAAAATGGGACGTTTTGAAACCAAAACATCCCAAAAATTTAATTTTTACTATATTAACAATAAATTGACCACAGAAATACAGTAATAAGGTTTTATATCAATATATTAATATTTAGGATGCTAATAATAATGAATAATAAATTCATGTCCTTTTAAGAATGTTTAAGTGTCTTAAAATAGAACAGAAGGGAAAGTTATGTGGCTCTGCAGGTCATTTAGGACTTTCTCGTGTAATCAGAGGTAAAGACCAACTCATCAAGCCGATATGTGTATATTTCGCAGAGCAATGGATGATTGCTTTAGTAATATGGATGTTTTGCTGGTCTTTTTTCTATTTATTGAGCAATTTACTGCATTTCCAATGTTTACTGCATTTGCAATGGCATTTTACAAAACGCAATTTGTAAATCGCAGAGGTGCCCGTTTTGGTTACTTTGCATCTAACAGGCGTGCGAGTCGCGACTCAGACTTTCTCAACGCAGTCTTTTAGGAAGCGGTAAAGCATTTGAAGTTGGTTTACCGCCACACAGAAGGGGAGGCAGGGTTCCAGCTAGCAAGTTTCCAGGATAAGAGTAGAAGGATTTCTCAATACAGCAGTGACAGTAAAGTCTTTTAAAAATTAACTCTGGACAATAAGTAGAAACAACTAAAACCCTTGAGTTAAACATTGACATATTTATGGTTAGTACAGAAGAAAAATCTAAATAAAGTCACAATATCGATTAAAAAATATAGCCAACGGAAAAATTCAACTACAGTAACCTGGTTTTATCCTAAAGAGCAGCGGTCCCCAACCTTTTTTGCATCAGGGACCGTTATATCTCAGACAATATTTTTACGGACCGGCCCGGGGGTGGGGGGGTGGTGGGGGGTGGGGGGGTGGTGGGGGTGGGGGGGGGGTAAGTTGATACGACTAGGCGTAATCGGAGAAAATTGACAGACGCTCCTGATGTCCAGTCTGCTTTGTTTTAGTCGCTGTAACCGCAGAAAATGCCGCTTCACAAAGATAGAATGTTATAAATAGGATGAGTCTTGAAATGAATTAACCTGTGTCAAGAGGCACAGATGCACCGACTGACCGCATTTTTTTTATATTTTTCAAAATAAAACATCACTCAGACTCGTCGATAAATTATATATATATTATATATATATATATATATATATATAATATTTTTTTTTTTTGTCTCTGTGCGGCCCGGTACCAAATGACCCACGGACCGGTACTGGTCCATGGCCCGGTGGTTGGGGACCCCTGCTATAGAGGGCGACACTAAGACAGTTTTAGGCCAAATATTACCAGAAAGTTTTCGTGAAAATATTGAAATTTGCATTTTAACGTAAAAGAAGCTCACATAAAGTCTGATGTGTTTGGGGTTTTGTTGATCTTTAAACTCCATAGGCAGTAGATTATTATGGATTCGTGTTTTCGGGCTGTTCTCTGACCCGACTGTCTGAATGTTTTAGCTGAAATTGATTAAACTTTCTGTTATTTTCCATTGTTGGTTAGCGTGTGTGAACTGGAGCCTCGCTTAGCTAACTTGTGTGGCGTCTGCTGTGGTCTTTTGTTGCTGTTGCTCAGCTGCTTCAAGTTTCCATGTGACAATGATGCCAGTTTTTTTTTTTTTATTCAAATGCAATTAACCAATTATTTCCTCATTCTTTGGACCATTCTCTGTAAAGGTTAGAAATGGTTGTGTGTGAACTTCCTGTGGATCCAGTGTCTCTTGTATACTCTGATCGGTGCATCTGACACCACTGTTTCACTTTGATCTCCTCTGTTCCTCATTCCTCTGCTCGGTTTGGGCACCTCCGCCACACCTAGATGCCTAAAGGGCTGAGTTACAACTAAGTGTTTGGCTCAATTGCACAATTCATTTAGGCCATTGTAAGTAAGATACATTTCAGCAAGAAAATTCAGAAACGGAGGATTCATTTCACACATTTTGCATAAAAAAAGGAAAAACTCTGATTAAAAATATTACTTTGCAGAAAAAACTCAGACATTTCCACCATTAAAGGCAATACAGTTTCAACATTTGAACTAAGAAATGATATGGAGGTTCCCAAATTTTTAGTTTTTGACTCACAAAAAGGTACAAAAGTCGACTCGTGACCCAAATGGCTGGTTTAGTGTCCAAACATTTCCTCTACATCAATAAACCACATGTCTAATAATTTTACAACCAAAGCAGTCGGTCTCGTCCATGTGGTGCTTTTGTATTTTAAGCACTTTAACATTAATGTAAACGCAATCAAATAGCTAATATTATAAAGTCTGAAATTTGCTAAGATCTTAAATCAGATAAAAAAGAAAATACAAAAAGGTTTCTTAGTTTTTAAGTTGTAAATTTCCAAGATGCGGTTCCAAAAGCATATTAGTCGGCTCCATGTGGGCCCTTTGCAGACCCGCACTGAACAACTTGGATGCAATTCGACTGTGAGGAGAATCTTTAAGACGCTGCATCAGTTAGAATTTTGTCACAACACAGTAAATAATAATTAAGAGCTATGAGTCACTTCTGCTAATGTTTAATTTTAAATTTAAGTGGTTTATAATGAGCTGGGAGAAGCTGGCCTCTTACAGGAAAAGGGCCCACAGGCGTGTCTTATGCTACGTTCAGACCACAAGCAGCAAAGGCAGCAGAAGCAGCTGGTTTACATGCAAAGTCAATATTGACGCGCATCAAGGTGCAGCAAAAGGTCCTGCAGCGCGTTTTGAGCAGCAAGAGCTCAAATGTAGCAGCTGCTGGAGTTGGAAACATTGTAACTTTTGCTTCTCGATGCACCACATCAACCAATCAGAGAAGCTGATCTTGGAGCTGGCAGGGAGACAGACACACTGCTGATGATGCAGAGCGCTATGATCACTCCTCTGAAACAGTTTATTAATGCCAAAATAACGTAAAATGTCGAAATCTGCTGGCAAAACATGTTTGCTTTTATTATTCTGGTGCCTGCAGTTTGGATTACATACATAAAAAGCGCCTTCCAGCCTCAAACCACCTAGAGGCGACTGGGCCAGAGGCTGCTGTTGAATGGGATTTCCAGTGACAGAGCACCGCCTGTATGTGGGGGTCTGAGCGGCTCCGAGAGCGATGATCTGGATGAACTGATTACCACAGTGGACACTGTGGTAATCAGTTCATCCAGCTTTTTGAATTTTTTTTTTACTTTACCCTCTCCATTGACCTTTTCTGTGACCCCTCTTGTTCTTGAGCCGACTGAAAACCGGTGAAACCAATCACAGTTGCTCCTCAGATGTAACCTTCGCTCTCATTTGTTAGACCGTCACCATTTGTTCACAAAATGACCAACGAGAGAGCTGGTTACATCTAAGAATGGACCAAAGGGATCACTGAAAAAAATCAACGGTAAGGGGAAAGTAAATAGAAAATGCAAAAAAAGATTTAAAAACCTACTGTAAGTCGAAAAAACATAAGTGGAACAAGGAATAACTTTTTAAAATCTGTGATTAGGAAAGATATAATCATTTTTATAAGTTGTGATTTTTAGCTAGTGATTTTGAAATGGGATTTAAAAATATGTTTTAAAAATGTGCTATTTATTACGGTTTAATAAATTAGTTAAAAATGTACACTTAGAAAACATTTAAATGTTAAATTTGAATTGGCCCTTTTTCATTTTTGGTTACCCCCAGAGATGGCAGAAGTACTGACTTTCCATACTTGAGTAAAAGTACAGATACTTGTGTTAAAAAATACTCTGGTAAAAGTGGAAGTACTGATTAAACTTCTTTACTCAAGGAAAAGTAACAAAGTACAGGCTTGTAAATTTACTTTTAAGTATAAATGTAAAAGTAGAAACCACTTTTTTCATGCCGTTGCCTACATTTTAAATGGATGTCTGCCAATAGGACTAGATCTCTGTTGTGTTCATTTTCAATCATCTACTATACTACTATGCTAACGCCACCGCCACCAAGCTGCAATGATTTGCCGCGAATGAATACCGCCGAATCTGTCGATTCCTCTTGTAATGGTGCGTCAAATGCAACGTAGATTCCCATCCAATTAGATTGAATTTGGTATTAATGACGTGAAAAATAATAACGGTAACTCCATTGAAATGATTTAAAACTAAAGTAACGAGCCAATTTTTTAAAATGTAAGGAGTAGAAAGTACAGATATTTGTGTAAAAATGTAAAGGAGTAAAAGTAAAAAGTTGCCATAAAAATAAGTAGTAAAGTAAAGTAAAAATATCAGAAAAATCTACTGGAGTACAGTAACGAAGTATTTGTACTTCGTTACTTCCCATCTTTGGTTACCCCTTTATAGGGCAAGTTAGCGTTTTTTATCACTTGCATACCCCTTACAAACAGAGTCCCTCCCCCCAGTGAGGTCTAGAAGCACTAGATCTATACCCAGCCTTTCAGCAAAGATACTGCTTTATGGCTGTACATCTTATTTTGGCATCTGACCAATTAGATGAGCCCTTCAATGATATATTACCTACTGGAAATTAAGTTGGAAAAAAAAGTTAAGAAAAAGGTAAAAAGCTAATTGAAATCTTAAAAAGTAAAGTTAAAAAGTTAATAAGCCCTTTTAACAATTATATTTAGGTTTATAAACTAAAAACTGTAAGAGCCCGTATCAGCATTAATGCCTCTAAGATTATGTTGCACCAAAAACATGTGTTTCTTTCTCTCTCAGAGTGTTTTTCATGAATTTCTTTTAGAAGCACTTTTGTTATTTTTCTTAATATATTCAGGCAAGTTGGCGTTTCCTGTTATTAAATTGACATAAATTTTTGCCATCAAAGTATCCCTATATTTGAATGTTACAAAGGTAATAAGGTCTTGTCCTGGATTCCAATAACAATATTGGCTTAAAATTTGGATTTTCAAACAATTTCCCTATAAACCCTATAAAGGGTTAATGAATCTGTGAAAAACTCAGGCTGCATCTTTTTACTTTACATCAATACCAACATTTACAAATAGCTGAAGAACATTTAGTGTGTTTTTTTATTTAAAAGTTCCAATTTTTTATTTCACAGCGACTACAGAGAATTTCACAGAGACTGATTCTTTCTTTAGCAGGTAACCTCTCTCTGATTTTAATCCTTCTGTCAGATAGATGTTCTGAGATTAACTCGCCGGGTCTGATTTCCTCAAACAGCTCTTTAGCTCTGGATCCAGCGGAGGAGTACAAGATGACCAACAAGCGGCGAGGCCTCGCCCTAATTTTTAACCAGGAGCGTTTCTTCTGGCGCCTGGGCCTGAGCAACAGAAATGGAACCAACGCCGACCGCTACAACCTGGAGAAGAGGTAGGATTTCCCTTCAGCCAGCTGGTGGTGCACATGTGGAGGAGCAGGGCGTCTCAGTGCATATATGTCTCCTTGTGTTTGTTCAGGCTGCTGGAGCTCAACTTTGAGGTCAGGGGTTATGACAACTTGAAACAGGAGGAGGTCCTGGAAAGAATCCATGAAGGTAGCCCAGTTCTGGGTTCCTCCATTTCTTTGTCATCAATACAGAATATTTGAGTGTAGTTTGGGGAAAATGAAGAACTGTGCCGATTTAAAAACCTTCCCACCTTTCTGATGTACTCCAGCTGCCGAGGGCGACCACTCAGACGCTGACTGCTTCCTGCTCGCCTTCCTGAGCCACGGCGAGGACGACCACGTTTACTCATATGACGGCAAGATCAGCATCCAACACATCACCTCCATGTTCAGAGGCGACAAGTGCAAGACCCTCGTAGGGAAACCAAAGGTCTTCATTGTGCAGGTAGGTCCAAAAAGTTGATGTTAAATTCCTGGTTTTAGGAAGAAGACTGAATATGTGTGTTTGGGTGATGAAAGGCGTGCCGCGGGGACCAACACGACGTTCCTGTCACCGCCTGTGACGTGGTGGACAACGAGGTGAAGACGAACGAGACGGTGGTGGACGCCTGCGCCATCCAGACCCTCCCTGCCGGAGCGGATTTCATCATGTGTTACTCTGTAGCTGAAGGTAAGCTGTGCTCCTCTGGAAGACCAGATGGAGGACGGAGTCCGCATGGATGAGGAGCAGATCTAAAAGGGTTTCTTCTACTAAAATATTTTATTTTTTCTGTTTCCTGATTTTATTTTTGAATTTCTCTGATTAAGTTGGAGTTTTACAAAGTTTAATCTTGTTCTTCAGATCTGGGGGCGGGCTTTCCTCTGTCAGGCTGTTTCTATTGGTCAGCTGGAAGTTTGCAACATTTTAATTGGTCATGAGTGAGCCTTTGCATTGGACATGAAGTATGACTTTAGTAATAATCTTAGTATTTTATTGTTGACATTCTTTTAATCTTCTAATCTAATTTTAATGTGATCGACAATTCTGGTCCCATATTTGCATGTTGTCTCCTGCCATGTTGGTTTTAATACATCTAATATAAGAGAGGAGAAAGTGATCTGTACAACGCCACTTACAAAGAATGCAATTAAGAAAACTATATTTGAAAAACAAAAATTTCACAAAAAAATTATATAAATATAAAATTCGTATAAAATAAAATTAATATTTAAAATAAATTTGAAAAAAGTCAGAGAAAACAGCGTTTCTCGCAAAAATCTTTTTTTTTATTTTTTTTTAATTAAAACTTTTTTCAAATTCTCACTTTTAGATGGCTTTTTTAAAAATTTCTATTTACAAAATGTTTTCTGTAAAACAACAATGGAATAAAATTCACTCCATAGTCTGGTAAACACTTGATTTAATCCCTGAAAATGATGCAATCAGGTAGAAAAAAAGATCATGAAAAATTTATTTTAAAGAATACAATAATAATAATAAAAAACATTAAAGATAAATACTTCTAAACAGATGTAGTACGGAGGCCGAGAGCGGTCGTGTTACTCTGATACTTTTTTCATGGTTGTCTCTAGAAAACGAATTAATTTTCGCAATATCTAAAGAAAACGAAAGCCATTTTCTCGTCATAACGACATGATTGGTGTGTGTTAAACCTGATTTCATCCTTCAATACCACAACAACGGGAGAGGATTTATAAGTCTTGGCAGCCTATGTGTAATTCTGTAAATAATCCTGTGTTTAACTTTTAGGTAACCAGGCGACATTGTTGGTTTGTTGATTTGCTTCCACTTCTGATTCATAAGCCATTAGTCCTATGTCTCCAGCGCCTTAGTGCCTGATGTTTTCTAAACAGCCCTGCTGTTAGTTTTTCATTAAAAAGAGATTTTCATTAAAAAAAAACATTCAGATTTGCTTCTACTGTATGCAGACTTGGTACCTTTGACTGCACAACTATGGGCATCGCAGGCATGGATGGACTGGGAATCCAGGGCTGTTGGCCAGCCTCATTTATTACTCATACAGGTTGATTATCTTTTTATCTCAAGAAATCAATAACCGCTTTCTTGTTATAAGGAGATAATTATCTTGTTATCTCGAGAAAACAATGAATGGTTTAACCGTGATAACGAGATGGTTCTGTTATTATGTCGAGAAGGCAAAAAAAAAAAAAAAAGTTGAGTATGACCGCCCTGGGCTTCCGTACTTCTAAACTGATGTTGGTTCTAAACAGGTGAGATGGAAAGTGTTTACAGTGCGATTCCTTAAAGTTTGTTTTTTTTGTCCAGTGACTTTTTAATCAGATAGAAAATAACAGAACGATTAAGATTTTGTGATAAATAAGCTTTTCCAGCATTTGGTAGATTTTGGTTTTTTGTCATTCAATGAGTTAGTAGAGAAATTAGAGAACCTGTTCTTAAGTTAAAAGTTGTGTCAAATTAATGCAATTTTTCTCTATAAAGGATAAAAGTCCCAGAAGTGTTTCTTTTCAAAGTGTCATTGAAAAGATGACCTACAGTGAAACCACTCAGGTTTGCTTCCCTTCCAGACTTCTCTGTTCTGATTTTTCTTGCCGTCTTCCTTCAGGTTTCTACTCCCACAGAGAGACCGTCAACGGCTCCTGGTACATCCAGGATCTGTGTGAGTTGCTTCGGAAGCACGGCGGCTCCCTGGAGTTCACGGAGCTGCTCACGCTGGTCAACAGAAAGGTTTCGATGAGGAGCGTGGGGAACAGCAACGACCGCAGCGCTATCGGAAAGAAGCAGGTGCCGTGTTTTGCTTCCATGCTCACCAAGAAACTATACTTCCGAAAGAAGAAGTAACGTCCAGACAAACCAGCCAACCGCCAAGGTTCAGTCCATCTGAAGGGCCTTGGTCTTTCAGATGATGCTGCGGGTTTTAGCTTTGCTTCAGTCCACTAAGATCAGAATTAATGCTGTACTTTTAAGAACGCCTAAAATGTCCAACTAGACGATTTAAAAAGAAACATTCCATTCGTAAATTACACTGTCTGTAAACTGTCAGGGAGTTTTTTTAGGTTTAGTGCTTCATTTTTTCCGTAATGAATTTTGTGAGGTGGGTTACCGGCGTAACGACCTGCTGGGTTCGGGGGTTTTCTCTTCTCAGGTTTTTCCTAAGAGGCTACAGCAGATTCATATGGAGTCAAATTTGTTCCGTTATTTTTACAAAAAAACAATTTTTTTTAATGGATATTTGAAAAAAAAGGGCAATCAATCAGAAATATAACTTTGAAAACTTGTTTATCAAAAAACATTTTTTGATTAAGATTCACTCAAAAGCTTATTTTGACTTTCCTGTGTCCTGATTTAAATTTTTTCCCCCCATGTATTAATGAAAGAATATTCACTCCATTATTCATTTCTATCTAAGCAGCTAACGGTACAGGCAGTCTGAATACAAGTCCATTCCTTAAAGGAATAGTACACCCAAAACATGATTAGCCTTCATTTTCTACTCACCTCCATGCTGAACAAAACTCTGGAGTACTTTTTTGATATCTGAAAGGCATCTGGAGATCTGGGAGGCTTCTTGCTGTCTGCTGACATTCAAATAATGGAGGTCCATGGCGCCCGAGACAGAAAGGTCCATAAAAGTCCACAAAAACGTGTCAATATTCCTCCATACTGCTCGTCCAATGTAATCCAAGTGTCCTGAGTGGGTAGCATCCAGAATTTACTCGAAACGAAGTCATTTAGAATGTTTTTAGAGCATAAACAGTAGTGTATAGGATTTCCTAATAGCGCCCCCATGCGCGCTCACGATTCTACGGAAGCCGGCAGACCAAACCGGAAGAAAGTGCGCATTCAGCGTCTGGTCTGCCGATAATGCAAGCGTAGAAGAAGAAATGTGCTGTTTACCTGTGCAAAGAAAGAAACAACGAAAGAAAAATGTCTGAGGACTTCAGTGTTGAGGAAGAGCATGAGTTCTTTGCCGAGCTGAATGCGCTGGTTTGGTCTGCCGGCTTCCGTAGAATCGTGAGCGCGCATGGGGGCGCTATTAGGAAATCCTATACACTACTGTTTAGGCTCTAAAAACGTTCTAAATGACTTTGTTTCGAGTAAATTCTGGATGCTACCCACTCAGGACACTTGGATTACATTGGACGAGCAGTATGGAGGAATATTGACAAGTTTTTGTGGACTTTTGTGGACCTTTCTGTCTCGGGCGCCATAGACCTCCATTATTTGAATGTCAGCAGACAGCAAGAAGCCTCCCAGATCTCCAGATGCATTTGAGATATCAAAAAAGTACTCCAGAGTGTTGTTCAGCATGGGGGTGAGTAGAAAATGAAGGCTAATCATGTTTTGGGTGTACTATTCCTTTAAATAGAAAAAGGGAAATAGAGTGTCTGGTCTACAGGTACAGACAAACAGAACCTCAGGAAGCCTCATGGAGGCTGTTTTCATTCCTTAAAGCTGTGCCGCGACCATGAATCCATTCCAGCTGTTTTTTATACCCATCCGATGTTTCTGTGTTCATGAGCTGTAAAAAAAAAAACAAATAAAAACCTTTTATTTCTTCTGATCTGTATCATTTTTATTTCAAATCTGTTTAAGTTCTTCATGACAATTAGACCAAAAAATAGAAACAAGAGCTTTTAGGTGATCAGCCAGATTTTTTTAAATACCGTAAATCCTCTAATATAGGCCCGGGCCTTTATTTCACTCAAGTGCATCGCGGTCCAGGCCTTTATTGGATAGAGGCCAGAATTAGAGACAGGCCTCTATTGCTATTTGAGCAAAACAGACTACCAGTGGAATGAATAAAAATGAGATTTTGTGTCTATTTGAACCTATAAAACACTAGGTTCATTTATTGAAAAAGTACAGTTACCATGTCTCGCTTGGTTTGAAGTAAAAAAAAAAAAAAAAAAAATCCTCCAATTCTGTTTAATCCTCCTCCTCAGTTTCCTCCTCCTCTTCATCTCTCCCTTTAATCTCCTCATCACTCGCGCTCCTCCTGTTCTGCTGCGTGTCTGTTCTCTTCCTCGCGCAGACGGGCAGCAGTCGGCTGCCGTTCAGCTGCGCAGGGCTGTGGTACTTGTATTTTACTACCACAAGTATAATGTTGAGGTATGCCCAGAAAAAACGTTTATAGCCCCGGCCTGTATTAGAGACCGGCCATTATTTACCTCCTCTGACAGCGAGACCGGCCAATGTTAGAGTCCCGGCCGCTATTGGAATACAGGCCAATATTAGAGAATTTACGGTATATCCCTTTAAAACATTTGGTAAGTTTATTTTGTTTCCATTTGTTGATTTCATTCAGATTAAGGCTGCGTTGCCAAATATCTCACTGTAGCACATCTCTGATGACATCGCATAAAAGGAAGAGACCCGCTAACCGCACCGATCCAAACAACGACAAGTATTTGGGCCTGCAGAGAGGATTGTCTGGGTTGACCTTCCTTATTAAAAGGACTGTTAACATCTCTGCAGACCCCCACACATCCTGGAAATGAGCTGTTAAGATTCCAACCCTCAGAGCGAGACTGGCCCTCACACTGGAAAAAATCGAAATCTAGATAAGTCATTTTTTCTTTAAATACGTGCATTTTTTCTTGAATTCAGGAAGTAAAAGAGACATTTTGCCAATGGAACAAGATAATTTACATTTAAAATATAAAAGCACAATTCCATTTTCTTATTTAAAGTGCATTTTATCTAAATATAATATTTTTAATAGTAAAAATATTCATTCCATTGGCAAATCATCTCATTTAGCTACTCAAATTAAGGGTAAATACACTTGATTTAAGAAATTTTTACTTATTTCTAGATCGTTTTTGCAGTGCACCCGACTCTGATCAACATAAGTCAGAGCCAGTTTCTTAAATTAAGTGTATTTATCTTTTGAGTAGGTAAATTATATAGTTTTCCAATAGAATGAGTATTTTTATTCTTAAAATAAGATAATTAGATAATATGCACTTTAAATAAGACAATACAATTGTGTTTTCTTATTTTAAGTGTAAATTGTAATGTTCCATTGGCAAAATGTCTCTTTAACTTCCTCAATATAAGAACAAATGCTCTTGTTTTAAGAAAAAAATGACTTGTCTAGATTTCGATTTTTGTCCAGTGCAGTTATCACTCAACTTATCTGATTCAAACTGATTTCAAATCGACTCTTGAGTTTGCCGGTTTTACTGTAATTATTTTAAATAAATAAATAAATCCTAATTTATTATTTGCGCAGACACACGGTACCGCTTTTGCATAACTAGGGGCCCCGCAGGCATGGATGGACTGGGAATCCCGGGCTGTTGGACAGCTTCATTCATTAATCATAAAGGTTAATTATCTCGTTATCTCAAGAAATCAATAACTGTTTCCTCGTTATAACGAGATAATTATCTTATCTAGAGGAAACAATTACTGGTTTAACCATGATAAGATATAAGCACATCTGTCAACACAATGCAGCTGCCAAAAAATATTTTGATCTTTGGTGGTTTATCATCAAATTAATCAAGAAATATGGAGCAGCCTCAGGGCAAGTTCGCTGGTTTTACTGTAATTATTTTAAATAAAATCCTAGTCCACAAATATCCTCATTCATATGTTCACATTTATGGATCGCAACAAAAAATATACATGTTTTCAACTAAAACAAAAATATGAAATAATAAATTATAGCAAATAATGAATTAAATCGTATTTAGGAATTAAATGTCCAGCAGGTGTCTGTATGGGCTCTATGCACAGCTCCACTACTTCCTGAATTTAAGGCAGCTCCTTTGTTTCCTGTCTTTCATTACTGGACAAACTGATTAATCCAGGTGTGTCTGGCCAGTTACTTAGGTCATACACACCTGGATTAATCAGTGCATCCAATCATGAAAGACAGGAAACAAAGGAGCTGCATTAAATTCAGGAAGTAGTGGAGCTGTGCATAGAGCCTATTGACTGACACAGTATCAAAACAGTTTGCCAATGTGTTGAACCCATTACTACTATCGTCCACTTAATGTGTTTTCATATTTTAAATGTTTCCCGCAGGAATTGCAGCATCAACACAGCCTTCTTTAGCTTCATTCCCCCAAACCAGGAGGAATTAGTGTGAAACAAATCCTCCTGTCCCGCAGGCAGAAATATCTATAAATATCCACTCGTTTTCTAATGTACTCCAAGCTCCAGATGTCTTCTCTTTTTTGCCTTTGGTTAAAAAACCCTGAATCTTAGGTGAGTTTTTTTCTTGAATTGAGTAGCTGAGGCACTTTGCCGGTTGAATAAGGCTATTTATATTAAAAAAGAAAAGAAAAAAGTGCATAGCATAATATTTAATCTTATTTTAATGGTGAAAATACTCATTCCATTGATACATCTTATTTACCTGCTGAAATTAAGGGGAAATACTCTTATTGTAAGAAATATTTACTTGTTTTTAGATTGTTTTTGCAGTGTTTTATTGCCTAAAGCTAATATAACTAAAATAAAAAGGTTTTCGTTAGTTTCATTAGTTTAGGGTTATGCAGGAACATTTGGTGCCATCCACTGAAACTTCAAAAGATTTGAAGATCAGCGGCATGTTTTACAGTCAGTGATGAGGTGAGCTATGTGAAGGAAAAGGACTGAACTTCGACGGGGATTGCACTCCTACTTCCTGCTCCCCCCTGCAGGGTTTTCTGATAATTCCAGTTACTCCATCTGCCAAGAGTTCTCACCATTTCTACAAGAAAAGGGAGAACAGCACACTGAAATGAAGGATGTTATTTAAAAAGTAACGGACAAGTGGTCACAAAGATTGTCTCTTGAAATGTTGAGCGAAACACGTGGACAGAAAAACATGTTCACACCTCTCCTTCAGAGTAAAAAAGCTAGAATCAGCCACCTGGACAGGTGGGTTTAAATTACAGCATGGCTGCAAAGGCCTGTGACTGGAAGGTCACTAGCACCACCTGGTGGACAATAGGTGGTATAATCCTGGGCAGAATACTCCAGTTATCATTAAAAGTCATTAAATTATATATTTTTTTAATTAAAGGTCTTAATTGGCATTGAAATTAATTAAATGTGATTATCGTGGCATTTAAAATGCTTCATATAAAAAAAAAAAAAACATATATAAAAAACAATTTCATCTGATATTGCGATATCCGATTGATCGTAAAGCTGTGTGTGTTCGGAAAAGAAGCTTGAGGCGGAGAGAAAGTTAGAGAATTAAAAAATGCAAATTTCAACAAAAGTGGCTGAAAACGAAAGATTTTGCCATGTTTTTATTCGTAAATGGCATTAAAATGAATAAAAAGCATTAAATTAGAGTTACTCCTGTATAAACCCTGTTTTAGCAGTTTTGTCCTCATAAAGAGGCCAAAAGTCTTGTCTCCGCTATCATCAGACAAAGGCAGAATGAACAAAGTGCTTTCTAATGAGCATCTGTAACATGATGTTGTACCAGAAACAAGAAATAT